GATCCTGTATATACTTTAGATTTAGCCTATTAAACATCATTGTGTTGTCTTTGACATCTAGAATGTAGATGTTGTTAGTTATGAGTGAAAAAATATTTTGTATCCTGTCATGAGTTACATTGCTGAAGTTGATGATTCCCTGTGATGTGATTTGTTGATACTTGCGTGGCCTGCAAGCTGACTGACTCTACTTCCTGTTAGTGTGCTTTAGCTGGGGATCTGGGGACTTTTAGATCTCTTAACTAACTGTGAATATTAACCAGCTGACGTAGGCTGTAGGCCGTCCAAAGCGATGCACAGGCATCGTTATTTGTAACCGCTATCCATGAGCAACATTTATAAATAAACATCAGATTTGATTGGAATATAATGAAAAACTACAGGTAGTGTTGTAGTCAAGACCGCTCAAACCGAGACCAAGTCAAGACCAAGACCAGAGTTCATCGAGACCGAGACAAGACCAAGACTTTTAGGGCTGAGAGCAGTCGAGACCAAGATCAGTTCCCTGCATTGCAAGGCACGCAATAAAATGTGGAACGAGATCGTAGGTGCTTCTCAAGTGTTCTGAAAGATCCACATTCCCATTAAAACACCCACATACAAACACTAAGAGCTGAAATCAACATAAGCATCGCAGGAGGGGGTGACATGAGTCGTTAATTATTGGTCGTTATTGGTTGCATTTGAATATGCATAGCAATATGTTTTACTTCCAATCAAAGTTAGGATGTTAACAAATAACTCAGACAACGCAAAAGCAAATTACTGATATTCCCAAAGTTATGGTCTTGAAATAAAATCCCAAGTCCTCAATGTCCGAGACCAAGACAAGACCGAGTGCAAATGCGGTCGAGTCTGAGACGAGACCAAGACCAATAAAAAAGTGGTCTTAAGACCAAGACCGGTCTCGAGTACTACGACACTAACTACAGGCTTTGCTTGACCATTAAAACCAGCTTTTTTTGTGGGAGTATAATGAAGAGACACATGATAAAATTTGTTACAAATTTAATAACAAACTGGATAAAGCCATCAACTTTTTAAAAGCAAAAATACTATTGCGACAGTTTGGAAGGCTATTAAAACATTTCCAGCCAACAAGAGCTGCAGATCAGCTGCAGCATCACGTCTGTGTTGCCTGAACGTCAGAGGAACATTATCTTTAACGAGCGTTATTACCTGCTGTAATCAGCTGTGACTGATGAAAACTTAAACAACAACTCTGGATCCAGTTACTCCATCAGCTGTTTGCTGTAAACACACCGCTGCACGCTGGCTGATGTTTCCGAGCAATAAATTGAATGCCGACGTTCAATCTCAGGTGGACATTGACGATTGAACGTTGATTGTGATTTATTTGTTTGCAAACAGCGGTGGAAAAGAGAGGAGCAGTCGTAGAAAAACAGTTCTCAGTTAAAGCCAGTAGCTTCTACTTGTCCTTTCAGAAATTCACTGCAAGGCAAGCTCCCCCCCCCGAGCAGGGACTTTTTGTGGGGTAAAATAAAGACCCTAGACCTCCGGTGGAAATGCAGTGAGTTCCTAGGTCTGGTGTATAGTTCCTTTGGTCATAACACGGCTTTTGTTGGCACTAATTGTCGGCTCAGTTGTAGGTTGTAAACAATGTTTTCCGTCTACAGATAATTGTGTGCAGTCTGAATTTACCTGTGTGTGTGTGTGTGAAATGACTTTAGGTGCAGCTTTATAGTATTTAGTCTGCAAGTAGACAGTGTAGGAGATGGAGCTTTTGTGATTGCTGCCACAGCTGCTGTCTGCAGACAGCTGCTTAAACAGAGAAGAACACGGAGGAAGTCGGGAGGAACACAGGCATGGAAGGTGACATGGAAAAAGGGGAGGAAATAAGGAGGGAAGAGTGAGAGAAGGGTGGAGGAAAGGTGTGATCAGGATAATTACAGGGTGTGTGTCAGAAGACTGCCCCTCTTCCCCTCATTCACATCTGTCTCCTCACTGTTTTTTTCTTCTCTTACTGTAACTCCCTCCCTCCTTCACTCAGCCAGGGAGTTTATAGGATGGCCTGTCACCACCTAGAACTAAATAACAACCCTCTAACATCACGCATCTTGGATAACTTTGTGATGAACTCAGTGTGTCACACCCTGCTTGAGTGATTCTAAATCCTGAACAAGCTCACATGGTCTCATTGTTTGTCTCTGACCCTGTTTAGATCATCAGAATAGGTCTCAAGTTATCTGATCACAACCACTCTGCTATAGAGAATTAGGTAAATGTTAGAGAATCTGATCTGAAGCTTTCTGACTGAGATTCTAAACTTTTCACTTTCATCATCAAAACTGAGAAAAGTTCCTGCAGCAGAACAGCTGAATAATAATCTAGCCATAATGGACATCCGTGAGGGAAAAGATGCAATTAAAGTAAAGTAAAATGACAAACGTAATAAAATGAGAGAAGGGAAAATTAATCAATCTAAGGCTTAAACAAGGAAGACATGTCACCTCGTCTCACTCACAGTTAAATTGTAACATCACCCAATTGTAACAGAGATGGATTATGAAACACTTACTGAAGTCATATGTGGATGGGAACTGTCTCAGAAAACATCTGGACACATTTACGGAATAATACAACTAAGAATTGCCTGTTGCAAGTCCAGCCTTAAACTGTATGTGACAACCATGAAGTCTATGAGTTGCAAGCAATTCAACCAAAAAGTGATGTTTCCCTCTCAGTTTGTTTGATTTGAATACTCTTTAGAGTCCTAAAGAAGAAAAACTATCCAGTTTTTCCACAAATTTAAAGGAGGCAGAAATCTGTTTTGCTATTTTATTGAACTCTTAACTTTCAGGGTGTGGTTTCCTGTTTTATTTTGTATACTTTGGTGCACTTGTTCCACCTTGTTTCCTGTCTGTGATTACCAGAGCCCTGTTTCAGAAAGCGGATTTAGTGAAAACTCTACTAAAAGTTGAGCCCGAGATGAGGGAAGCTCTGAGTTTTCGGTTTCAGAGAGCGAGATCAGATAAACTCTAGGTCTGTAACCCCGGCAACTTACGCTGTGAACCAGACCTGCTCAGGAGGAGGTTTGGTTAAACTACCCCTTCAACGCTCATGGCCCCTCACCTTGCCTATCTCCCAGGTTATGAACCTCCGTCTTAAGACTATAAACCCAAGAAGACAGAAAGTAAGTTGAAAACACAATAATAAACATCCAAGACTCCAAGTGAACTGAGCAGTAAATCGGTTGTTGTTTTGGCAGATTGCATAACGTGTTTGGCTCCCAGTCCAACCGCTGAGGGTCTGTCTCCGCCCCTGCTTGGACCTGGGGCGTTGCAGGCCAGCTAAGCCCGCGTGCCTGCACTCCCACAGCCTCTCGGTGCTCCTGAGTGAGCCGTCTGAATGTGTGGAATGTGAGGCAGGTATGCGAGGATACCTCTGCTCTGGTCCAGATAGAGAGAAATGATTAAGAAAGGGAGGGAGAGAGATTCCTTGAATTATAACCCGAGCCAACAGTGCATGTAGGTGTTTCAATGTGCAGGCTCCACAGAACGCAGTCTTGAATCTGGAATGTATTTTGCAAAAAAGCTTAACTCCCCCACACTGCAGGTGTTTGTGTTCAGTCTTCAGCAAGTTTTATGGCTCAATCACCCACAGATTCGAATGCAGCAGGTTGTCTCTTGTCTCTCACAAGTCTGTATGCTTCAGGCGTGTTTAAGTGTTGAAAACTGTCAAACAGATCTGTTTCCACTCATCGTTTCCTCTTCTTATTCAAGTTCTGGTATCTCATTAACGTTATATTATAGTGAGTTAGGAAGCCGTCAATCTCGGACCCATCTGGACCTCGAAACTCGTCTGACAACAATTTAGCCTCTGGCAGCCACGGCCGATGTTTTGGGGCATTTCGGCTAATGCGTTCTGTGTCTTTTGCTCTCCACACTTGAATGTTTACTTGCATGCAACCAAAGTGTTTTCATTTGAAACATCTTCTGAAACAGTATTTTCAGTAATAAAATAAAAAGCAAAAAACATGCAGGTAGTTTAACTGGTGACTCTAAATTGCCCTTAGGTGTGAATGTGAGTGTGTGGATAGTTGTTTGTCTCTATGTGTCAGCAATGTGATGAACTGGCGACCTGTCCTTTGTTTACCCTGCCTCTCAACCAATGTCAGCTGTCAGCCCCCGCGACCCTGCATGGATAAGCGGTTATAGATTATGGATGGATGGATGGAAAACAAAAAGCAGCAGGGAATTATAATGGCAAATGGCAGAAGGTCAGAATCAGACTTCTAGCTATACTATGATCAAAAACACTCAGACAGCCTCACAAAGGCACAATTTGATGTATAGTAATGAGTTAAAGTACCCCAAATCACTAGATTATGCTAGATTAATTTAAAGGATTTTTTCCAGAATAGGCACACTCAAGGAGACCACACCCTCCTGTTTGTAGAAGCACTGAGGAGGAATTTCATGGACGCTGATCCAGACCTCTGCTGCTGACTCCGGCCCGCCGCTGTCTGTCTTTGATCCTGAACTCCCTGCACCAGTCTGAATGGGCTGCTTGTCTGTTTGAATCCAGTCAATACAGCTCCACTGTTTGTCTTTTGAACTGGTTTTCTAAGAGAGTGATAAAAGGCTAATGTGGTTCTATAAGAAAGATCCTCAAATCTGTCATCTGTGTGTGTGTGTGTGTGTGTGTGTGTGTGTGTGTGTGTGTGTGTGTGTGTGTGTGTGTGTGCATGATCTGCAGGCAAAAATGTAAAGCAGCTCAGTGTGTTTTTTTGTGTTGCAGGAGATTAGTGTCTGGATTCATACCTTGTTTTACCTGCTGGAAGCCTGCTCCAACATGTACACACCTGCAGGGGCAGGAGGGGATGCATAAACACACACACACACACACACGGGTGCCCTTCATGTGCTCCACCCTGCCTTAGAAAAATACCTGAGGCAAATAGTCAATTGACAGTTTAGTGACTGTTTTACAAGCAATGGCAGGAAGACGTTGGTGTGGTTTGTACACATGCTGACGCACACACACACACACACACACACACCTAGTGAAGCGTCTGTTTTGGAGCATGCTGAAACAGATCACTCTTTCATGCTGAACCAGGCAGTCTGTGTGTGTACCTTTGCTCCCCACTGGTGTTTACCTCCTCTCTCTGCTGCTGCTCGCTGCCACGTCAAATGACCGCCTGGGTGCTTGGCTCGCTCCTCCGGGAGCCTCGTGGCCAAACAGCCTGACTGTGGCAACTCTGCTCTGGGGCTGAAGAGTCAGAAACAACGGGTTGGAAGATTTATACCAGCTCAGTATTTTGACAGCGTCTGACTGTCTACTGGAGCTCTACTTGTGGTTGGAAGATAAACGGATGTGTTCAGGTCTGTGGAGACCAGTCAGACCCCAACTCACCTGAGGATTGAGGAGACAGCATGAGAGCAGCTGTTGGAGCCACTGAAGTATATTAGTGCTTTTTTTTTATTTACCCATCTGAAAGATGAGTGGATATCTTTACAGAGGAAGGTAAGTGATGACAACAGCTCTTGTGATGAGTCATGGGGGTCGGCTTGGTGAGTGTGTGTGGTTTGTGTACCGTGGTGTGCATGTGTGGGTGTGCATTCATGAATGTAATGTGAATAGAAAAGCATCTCCTCTGCAGTGAATGCAGATAAATAAAGTCAAGTATTCTTTACCTTAGAATGAAAAGAGGACCTTTGTGCCAGGGTTACATAATAAGGTCTCGACTCCCACATGTGGTGATCTGGATGATAGGCAGCTATTGGCTGAGCTCATTTCAAAGCAAACCCCTGAATTATGTGTTCACTGTCATTTTAACCTCCTCCTGTCTGTTATGCAGTCATGTGTTATATAATAATATAATAATGTAATAATAATATGTTGGGGTATTGAGAAATGTGTTTTAACACCTTAAGAGTTTCCTTATTTGGTAATTTTGGAAACTTAAGGATCTCTACTACAGTATAAAATGAACTTATGTGGGTTTATGTTTACGGGGAGTTAAAATTATATATATATGTGAGAATATTTCCATTCTGGATGTAAAGTTCCAGTCATTTTAAACATGTTTCATATCATAGGACAGGACAATACTGACTAAATCAAATATCACAAGATGTGTTACTGAATACTTCAATATTCAACTGTGGATATAATCAGGACTTCAAATCGAGGGCAACTGGGCACTGGTCGAAGATACAGTATCTCACATAAGCACCCCTCACATATTTTTAAATATATGATTATATCTTTTGAAATGACACTTTGCTACAGTGTAAAGTAGTGAGTGTACAGCTTGTATAACAGTGTAAATTTGCTGTCCCCTCAAAAGAACACATCACACAGGCATTAATGTCTAAACCGCTGGTAACTAAAGTGAGCACAGCCCTAAGTGAAAATGTGCAAATTGGGCCCAAAGAGCCGTTTTCCCTGCCCGGTGTCATGTGACTCGTTAGTGTTACAAGGTCTCAGGTGTGAATGGGGAGCAGGTGTGTTAAGTTAGGTGTTATCGCTCTAACGCTCCCTCACACTGGTCACTGGAAGTTCAAGGCAAAGAACTCTCTGAGGTTCTGAAAAACAGAACGGTTGCTCTACATAAAGATGAACGAGGCTAGAAGAAGATTCCCAAGACCCTGAAACTGAGCTGTAGCACGGTGGCCAAGACCATACAGCGGTTCAGCAGGACTGGTTCCGCTCAGAACAGGCCTCGCCATGGTCGACCAAAGAAGTTGAGTGCACGTGCTCAGCGACATATCCAGAGGTTGTCTTTGGGAAATAGACGTATGAGTGCTGCCAGCGTTGCTGCAGAGGTTGAAGAGGGGGGGGGGGTCAGCCTGTCAATGCTCAGACCATACGCCGCACACTGTATCGAACTGGTCCGCATGGCTGGCGTCCCAGAAGGAAGCCTCTTCTAAAGATGATGCACAAGTCCGCAGTTTGCTGAAGTCGCTTTATCTGCTGAGTTCAGAAAAGTGAAGAAGCTTCTTGGATGAGAGGCGAAAGTATCTTCAACCAAGGCCAGTTTTCCAGAGCTCAAACTGAGTAACTGTGTTAGGCCTCTGCACACCACGGTAGGCTGGTTACCTCCAGTAGACCATTGTTGATCATCTTTGGCCAACCTTTGCTCGTTATGTTTGGTTTAGCTTGGTTGGCCCATGTCAGTGGCTGTTCAGACAACTGAGCAGTTTTCTTTTAAAATGGTCAAAGTCGGGTCTCACAGCCCTAACCATTGCTTTCTTTTCTTTTTTAAGCAAACCGTTCAAGTAAATCTTTCTGTTTTAGAAACTATAAATCTATAATCTGTATTTTTACTTGATTAACACCGGATACTGTAGAAATGACACAAAAACTTAACAAGAGAAGATCCATTCACAACACCAATAATAAGCTGATTTATCACCCATATTTGCTACATATGATTTCAAGGAAGTGTTGTGACAATTATTCAGAATTTATTAGTCATTATACCGAATCTGCATGTCATATGTGTCACAGACTGTGCCATGAAATGTGCTTTAAGAGGAAAATCAGGGTTCAAGACGTTGGCTCCCTTTCTGCGTGAGTTTCATGAGTCATGAAGTGTCCTCTAAGAGACCCCGACCTACTGTAGGTTAGGGGTGTGTTGTGAAACATTAGCGAACAGGGAGCTGATTTGCAGATTTGTTTGATGACGAGCAACCACACATTAGAGCCCATATGTTGTTCACGGGCAACAACTTGAGCCTGTCGATCAGTGTTCAGTTTGTCTGCTGCCTCACAGCTGCTGGATGCCTTCGCTGTTGTCTACTCAGCTTCTATTGTCACACAGGGCTCATTTACTCACATCTCCTGCCGTTAGCCACTCCTCCAGCTGTCATCACCAATTTGTTCAGACCAGCACGGAGGTCGCTGTTAGTGCCGACTAACTAGCACACCTAGGTGGTCAAAATGAATCCACTCATTGCTCTGAAAGCCTTTGATTCCTGTGTCATTCAGAGACAGTGAATTGGGGCTCATTAGATTCTCACCCTGGCGTGAAGCTCCCTCATCTGCCTGATCTTCACTTTAGTTAATAAAAGAAGCCCGGCGCGATCTGCTTTGACTTAATCTTGCTCATTGATTATTCATAAAAGGCTCAGAGGAAGTGCTAATGGGGAGAAAATCCAGCACATGTTCCTTTTGATCCTAAAAGACTCATTATTGACCAACTTTAAGCCACGTTGAGACAGTGCTACAGTGAATCTCAGAAGCTACAACAGCCTTTATTTTTACTCTTTTTAGGGAAGGATATATTAAAGAAAAACCTTTTACCAACTGATTAAGTTTTTTCATTAGGTAAAGAAAAAATTTATGACTCTGTGAGTTATAAATACTTTTCAGAAAGCCCTTTCATTTGTTAATAAAGTCTTGACCAGTTGATGGAAGGTTTTCATGGATTCCTCCACTCTCCGTCTTTGTTTACTGTTTCTCAGCTGATGAGTGATGGCTGTGTGACTTAAAGCATGCGCTGACTCAGTTTCCACCACCAGTGTGTGAGTGTGCCTGCTGTCTCTGACATGTCAGTGGAAGCTCTGCTCATCCAGGACTATTTTTGACCCTCTTGTGTGTTTTGAGAACTCACCACATTTTTAGTGACATGTGAAGCAGACGAGACACCGGCAGGTAGGGTATTGGTGAAAAAATTGTAAATTACCATAAATCTGGAAAAACAGGTTTTAGTGGGAGGGGGAAGGAGCAGTGTGTTGCTGCTGGTGAAGGCACATGGGACCAACGCTGAGTCTGATAGCTGTCTTTTGTTTCAGGCACTGTGGTGGAGACAAACGGGCCAGGCCGAAGAGCATTGGACCTATGATGGGTAAGTAAATACCCCAAATATTTTTAGTGCTCTGATTGATGCTTCACTCAGGTTTTTAAATTCTCCCGTCTCTAATCAAGGTGTTCTTTGTCGTACTAAGTAGAGTTTACGGGTTTATTTTTCCAGGAAAAATTAAACATATTACAGTTTTTCCACCCTCAGCCTCATGCAAACTCCCGTGTTGACTAATCAGCCATTTGTAGAAGTAAAAGTCTGCAGCCTCTATGAGTCTATGAATGACTGAGTGTGTTGGTAACAGCCACCACCCCTTTAATACTGTAGAACACACACACACACACACACACACACACTCGTACTTTTGGCTGTTTGAAAGCTTTGGCTACACTTACAATAGCACAAAAGAGAAAAAAGGTCTTTAATTTTTGGTAATTTTACATGTTCTGTAATTGCCTTATAATTTTCTAGGATATTTCTTTGAAAAAAAAACCTGTGTAATTTGGTACAAACAACATTTGGATACAATACCTACTCATCTATTTATGGGTTTAAGAAAGAACCATAGATATATATTTATTTGGAGTTTATGTTGATTTCCTTATAAAAACTGCAAAAAGTCTCAATGACTGTAAAAATATTATTCAATATTATATTCATAATCTCTATGGGTTGAAATGGCAGTTAATTGGCGTTAAGTGCACCAAGTGAGCACTTTCCCTGTAATTAGTACATAATTACATGGTCCTTTCAGAATTTATAGTAAAATATAATTTTTAATATTGTTAATAGGAATAAAAATCACAGAGAATTAGATGTTTGAACCATCATTTGGGCCATTTTCATCAAACGTTACTGATATCTGATTTCTTCTGTCTTGGTCTTGAATTGCAGTTCAATATTTCAGAAAATATGCTTATTTGTTTTGTTTTGGAGACGACAAGATGGATATCAATCTCATGTCTGTGTGTGAAGTACAGAGCTGGATTCAGGATGTAGTCAGCATAAAGACAAGAATCAGGGGAAACAGTTGGTCTGGTTCTGCTCAAAGTTCAAAAATATATCTACCGCCATCTCTAAAGCTCACTAATGAACACGTTTGATCTCACTTGTTCAACCTGTGCACAAACATGAATGTACAAAGGACAGAGGGCAGTTTTAGAGAAAATATTAAGCTATTCTTTTAAGGCTAGACATTCATGTGTGGTTTGGTTGGGATTAGGGTTCAGACAAAGGGAATACGTCAATGAGGGTCCTCACAAATACAGTAACACAACATTTTTATGTGTGCGTGTGTTTGCATGGTTGTACCACTGCGTCATTCGTAGCAGCGTTGTGTAATATTTTGCACCCTGGCCTGCTCCAGGCGCTGCAGCAGTTAACTTCCCAGGTCCTGCTTCAGAATACCTTCTAACTTCATGTTACAGAGCAGCATTTTAATAATATTTAATGTGCCGCAATTTTAAGGAACCGTCAGAAACCTGCGCTCTGCCAAAGACGTCCTGATTACACCCCTCGGGAATCTGGCACTCCACCACCCCCGCCCCTATTCTACTGCGGACCAATTGGCCCCACTTTTAAAGGAATAAAACACGAACTATTGTACAAATCCCTCCTGTGTGGAGTTTTCTGGGAACGCTCCTAGCCTTTTAGAGAGGATAAGTTTGGCTTTGAGACGTCTTAAGACCTCTGGAAGTGTTTCAGCTGGACTCAAATATACCATGTCGGTTGTGTGTGTGTGTGTGTGTGTGTGTGTGTGTGTGTGTGTATGAGTGTGGACACGGCCCATAAATTCAGGTTTAATAGGGTTATAATGAGGCGAGGGTTGATCAGGACGTCTCAGAGATGCTGCTCAGAAAGCCCAGAGGTGTTTGGATTTCTGCTGTTCTGTTAGACTGATGATTCTCAGCAACAGTGGAACATTTTTACTGCGTGTAGTAAGGATTTACGTTTTGTGTGTGCTTTTCTGAAAATGCTGCTGATCTTCCATTAAAAAAGAAAAACTCCACTCATGGTTCAAGCTTTTGCTTGTAAGCTTTTGCTTACACTAGAGCTTTCAACCGTATCCTGCTGTCTTCATCAGCAAAGTAAGTTTGGAATGACCTGACAAGCTCCATTCATTAGCCAGGATGCATGAGAAGTCCTGAAAGTACTCAGAATAATTTCTATCTACAGTTCCAAGACAACTAATTCAGTCAAAAGTTGAGTGGAGATTTGTTTGCCAGCGGCTGTTTTCAAGGTCAAGATTTAACTGTCAAGCTCAGTATAAATTTGGTGTTGAAACATGTTAAGACTCAAATACATAGTTGTTGACAGTCAACAGAATATGTTACTGAATCTATTGGCCTAACTCTATTGAGTCTCTTGTATCATGCTTTTTCATGGTCAGACGTCGGATACAGTAACAGAATCCCTGAAAGGGATTAGGGACAGTAACCACCATTTTGCTGTTTTCTGTTTCCTCAACCCGTGTATGGTCAAGACCCATCGGCGTCCGTTTGTAACGCACTGGGGATCCCTATAGCGTCATAGTTCAACGCAGTGGGGGGGGGGCCTGTAGCGTCAGTTTGTGACGGTAAAGACAGGTATGTGATATTTAACAGAAAAGACTGAGTAAAGAGGTGACAGGGGTGGATGGAGGGCCAGAACCCGGACTTTGAACCAGGAGACCGGGGTTCGTGTCTTGTGTGAAACAAAAAGTCAACATTAACGATCTTTTCCTTACCATAACCAAGTAGTTTTGTTGCCTAAACTTGACCAAACTGCAACATTTCAGGACTTTAATAACGTGCCGTTTCAAAATGGCGATGTTTCAATAACTAGTGTTTTAATTTGAAAGTCTAACCGGACGTTGCATATTTGTTGTTGCTACGCATTGCTCACTTGACCGCGGAGGTTTAAATGACGCAAAAGGGGTACCATTTATGTGACGAGCCGGGAGAGAGAATGTGTTGGTTTCCTTATGCTAATTTACCCCTCACCTCTAATAATACTATTTTTGAGTCAGCTGATTACAAAAAACTAAAGGTGGAACACAGGATTCGATGATGCAACACACAGCCGAAAGATGAAACAAGATCACAGTGAGCTCAGGGGAACAAAGTGAACAACTACAAAGTGACACAGGAGGACTTTCAGCAGAAACTCAGTTTCAGACTGTCAGCTGCTGTATAAACTTGTATCTCATGTTCACGGAAACTTAAAAGCAACCCATGGAGTTCCCACAATCACTAACGTCACTCTCCTACCAAACAACTTGTAAAAATTACGTAGGTGTTTTTGCTGTTGCCTTTCTAATGACAACTATCTGAGAAAAATCCTAGTTTGAAAAATACAGTGGAATCCGCGGGAAGAACCTAAAAATAAAGCTTCACAAAGTTCTTAAACATATGGGCCATGGGAAACAAAGTTACAGGTTGGAAAAGGAATATTGAGAAAGATGGTCTCAATTACCACTTGCTTTTTTCTTTATGTGTGATTTGTTTTTCTGTCTGTGCAGATTTCTCATGTGATGAGACAGATAAAGGCCCACCGGTACAGATGCACAGCCTCCGAGAGTTTGAACAGGTAAGGACATGTGTGAATCACATGATACATGCTGTATGATAAGGTTTAAGAGTTTGATACTGCAGTTGTGATGAGAAGAAGAGCTGGCTTGCAGAACTTTGGCGGTGTGCTTCAGAAGTGTCCAGGGGCCTCATTTATAAAATTGTTCTTAGATTATTACTTTTCTGACGGTTCTCGATAAATCATAGAAGACACTGACCATTAAAAACCTTGCTTACGCAGGTTCTAAGAAGCCCATTTGTAACGTACACACCTGTGATCTATAAAATTCACAGACCCCGCCTTACAATCAGCAATTTCCTCTTATATAATTCACAAAAGAGGTTTAGTCAGAACAGCCATGGACCAAAAGAGAAAAGCAAACTTTTTGGAAGCTGAGGTCATGATGTCTGTCACACTGTTTATAAAGCCAAAGCAAAGTTCACCACAGACTTGGGCGCACATGCGTCCCAAACTGTAATACCCGAACATGACCAGCAGGAAAATCTCTTACATCCAGTCTAGACTTTGCCTAGAGAGAAGATCATTTCCACGTCTAAGGAAAAGGTTTTATAAATAACTACTTAAACGTGGTTTTCTGCGTGAGTCATACTTAAAATGAAAAGTGATTTTAAGTCCGTTTTATAAATGAGGCCCCAGGCTTGTCACTGCTCGGTTGTAATGACTGTGTAGGTGTGTTTGGGAAGATGATGTGGCAACTGAAACTCTGCATGAGTCAAAGCGTATCCTCCTCCTCTTCTGACTCTCTTATACAGGCTGTATTAATGTTTCTCTCATTATGTATACACTTGGCTTATAAGGATGTTTCAACTCCATCTTTTTTACCTTTTGCCCCAGGTCTTGATACTGGTAATTAAAAACAAACACAACACAAAAACAGCTGCACAGTGCACATTAAAGGTGGGGTAGGGAAATCCACTGCCAGGACAAATACCATGATACAGAGTGAAAAATGACAAAGCAAGTCATGGAAGATTAGCTAGGTTGTGGGTTAAGAAGCTGTGGCTACAGCTGGAAAGCTAACATGCAGAGAGCATGAGACGGTCCCAGAGCCAGCACAGCAGCTCCGGACAGAAATACTCATAACCCTCCTGCTGCTATAGCTAACATCACAACAACAACATGTCTTGGTGAACTTGGAAGACAGATCTGGGGCGACACGCAACAAAGGGCTGACCGGATTCATGCATAACTGTGGTCAAGTTACAGTAGTTGTTGTCAGCCGATGTGATCAACTGGAACTGCTGATTGTAGTTTATACGCTTGTGTTGCTGGCATTTTTGGATGTGAAGATTTGAGTTCAGTGTTTTAATGCAATGAGATGCTGTGTTTTTAACAGCTGGAGGGCCCACTGTACAATGACTTACAAGAAAGGACATGAAAAGGGAAACTCTTTATGTATTTGCTGCTGATCACATTAAGAAATGCTTTTATCGGTTTCAATATCAATCCTGTTGACGTCAAAACATCCTTATTTTTGTTCGTGTAGTCCTTCCATCCACGTTGGTTTTGGAGCTTTTCCAAGACGCTCTTTTAAGCCGATTCACCAACGCACTGCTGAAAATCTCAACTGTGTTATGTGTCAACCTTTCAGAAACATGGCTGACACACACATTCAAGGTGTTTCATTTTTCTGTTTCTGTTATTCGACAACTGCACTAAAAGTTTATTTTTGAAGCACCAAAATTACTGCTTCCTTTAGTTACCAGATGGCCTTTATGACCCACGATCACATAACAGTCGTCTAATGACAGAAAGGGGAATGAGACGTCATTGACAATACCTGTATTGTGTTATCAGAAAGATTAACCCTGCTGGTCATCAGACTGCTCTACATTACTGCTTGGTTTTGGACGGAGCAGATAGGAGCAGTAGTTTCCTTCTGGTTCTGTGCCAGAGTAATGGATTCTGGGAGCTTTGCCAGCTGCATTATGGGTCTGATGTGCTTGCTGTAATTACCCTGTTCCTGCTTTTAGTGAAGGGGGGACAGTGTGTGCTGGTTGTAGTAATGTTGAATTGATGTGGAGAGTTCGTCTTGCATTAGGGGAAAAAGGTCAAATGATTTGAATTATGAAACTACAGCAGGATGAGATCAAATTCACTTGTTCCTGTAGAGATTCTGAGACACAGAAAGCAGCAACTGAAAAATTTACTTTTTTACCTAAAGGCCATTTTAATGGTAATTTAGAGAATCAAGAGGAAATATTTCATAGCTTTGCATCACACCTCATTTATGTCACTTAAACTCCTCTTTTGCAACCTTTGGCAATTCCCATAAACAGTGTACGTTACATTAACACATCTTCAAGGGTCTACCAGGTTCTTACTAACCAAAACCTGATCCAGGATCCTAAGTTAGGCTGGTTCAAACTAATAGTTAATCTAATCGTGGCCATGTAGGGTCCTGTTGTATTGCTGCAGATTGGCTACAGTCTTTCTCTGCAAGACGGGCAATGATCTGTATCTCTGGCTATTTTTATGTAGGTATAAGAGAATGTACCCGTGCATACTCACCTTGTGCCAAAGATACACCCAACCTGCTATAAGGGGTCGCAGTTACACACACAAGACGTTTGGAAAATGGTGTGTTATCGCCTTGTGGCTAAATAAACTGAAAGACTCGCATGAAATAAATATGGGAGCTAATTAAGGCCTTGACCTGCAGACATTGTATAATACAACCATTGAATCATATTTTTGTGACATGTTAGTCAAAAGTAGGTCAAACACATAAATTAGGACTTATGTTGAGGATGGATGTTGAAACTGCAGTAAAGATGGCAGAGCTGCTGAAGTAAGTAATGTGTGTAGAAGATGATGATTTGCTCCCACGTGTGGAAACCTGCTGTTCATTCAAATCAGCCAGTGCAGTGTGGACTTGACTGGCTTTTTCAACCAGAGCAGGTGTAACACTTTTCTATTGTGGAGAATGTTTCCGCCCTCAGTAACTGTGTTGCTTTTAGGTTTATTTGATATATATAGATAGATAGATAGATAGAGATATATAGATATATATATATATAGATGATTTATTCATAGATAGCAGCTTTAAGTGCTTAAAATGCATCTTGAACTGGTGTAACAGCTTTAACGATAAAGCTTTGTATTTGCAGAATGAATAGATATTTCCCCCTGAAGCTGCACAAGCAGAGGCAGAAAGCTGATCTTGGTTGGTTGGAGGCTACATTATAATGTCCCGGCAGCTTCCCTTTGAAGTTTTCCTCTGACTATCCCACAGGGATGAAGGGATGAGTCATGCTATATGCAGACATACAGCACAGACAGCAGACTGGGAGGCAACCTAAACACTGGCTTTGTGTGGAGGGATGAGGAAAAATGGGCCAAGATTGCTGATGTTGTGTGTTTGAATTACAGTCGATATGTTGCAGACCTGCAAAAACCCTTTAAAAGGACCAGTCCAGGGTTTTTTCATGTTTCACACAATTTACCACAAAGCATACTTTAAATTATCACTGCTCAGTTTTCCAAAGAACATTTCAGGGTTTTTTGATCATGTGTTTTTTCCCCCCACCTTTGATTCAGCCATTGACGTTCTGTATTTCACTGCACTGTGACAACCTGCAGAGCCTTGTACAACCTGCAGAGCCTTGTAACCTGCTTTTGTACCTAACTTCAAAATGGAAATCATGTCTGAGCTTTGTTTGATGTCAAACGTGTTGCATGGTACTTACACTGATTACAGATTTCTTCTAACGTCTACACTAACACCATAAACATTACCAGTTAGAAGCTGTAAGAACAGCTTAGTAGCTCCCAAGCTAGCACTGCTAGTCCCACATTTCATTTGTTTAGATGTTGAAAATATGAACACATCAGGCGGTCGCCAATCTTCTAAGCAACTTTTAAATTGGGGGAAAAAACGTCAGGTAGGAGTAAAATAACAAAAAACATGATTTATGTTGACAGTGAGAGGTATCAGGTGTGTACTGGGACTGAAATTCAGCCTGGGACCTTGAGATGGAGAGGCCTTTTATGCAAGCGCCCTTTGGGGGGCTCACAGTTATTTTAATACATACTAGTGTTTTTGTTTTATACAGTGAATCATTATGCTGAAGAAACGTCAGGATGACGCCTTCCTCAAGCATGGCAGCTCTGCACTGAACAAGCCTGAGTCAGTCAGAGTGCAGCCCCTCCTCTTCTCTCCCTCCTCATGACTGGGGTCATCATCACCCTGTCTCTCTCCATCACCTCCACTGACCTTAACCGCTAATTTACATAAAAACATTCAGAGATTCCTCGCTATAGAAGGATGTTGTTTTTGTGCAATAATGCATCGCAAACTGTTGTTTAATATATAGGCCATGTAAATACATAGCCTAATGTATATACCTGTAGATAAATGCACTTATAAATAATTTCAGTACATAATAAATGCATTAGCTTCCTAATCATGCACCTGTCTCTGCCTTTGCAGGGTCCTGCCTCACCTGCTACAGCAACCTTTCTGCCGGTCGGTTAATTTGGTGCATTTAGCTGCCTCTTATGGCAACATTTATTTCTTCTAAATACTTATTTTTTTTTAAACACCCCATTTACCGTCTCTGTTGCGCTCATCTGCCCCCAACAAAACGTTTCGTGATTGAACTCACCCCAAATGGAAAGTGAACTCCTTTGATCGGCGCCGTTGAGCCAGATTTCATCAATCCAAGTCTGGAGGGGCCGCTCGGATCCCCCTTCCGTATCAAAAGTATTCGTGGATCATAAAGTAAAACATTAGAAACTGAAAAATAAAAATTCAAATTTTTAACTGAACATATTTTGACTTTACATAATAAGAAAAGCAGGTGTTACTCACATTAACGAGGACTCCATTCTGTTTAAATGTGACAGTGAGCCAGGATGGACAATATCAGCTAAATTGGCCCACCATGATTTTATTATCTCTTAAGTGTAAATAATTAATTTTGTTCTTTTATAGTGACATGTCAAAATGTATTCATTAAAATGGGCATATTAATAATATTGCTGCAACATTCTGT